TCTCAAAATCTTAAAAAAAATGAAATAAAAATCAAAATATTGCCAAAGGAGGAGAAGTGAGTGTGTGTATTAATTCCCACTCTCTTTTGGTGCCCTTTAGGTAATATTCGAAACACGGAACGACTGAGCTATGACAGGCAGCAGAGCTACAAGATTCTGGTGACAGCCTTTGACTGTGGTCAGAAGACAGCCAAGGAGCATGTGGCTGTGCATATTGATGTCAAGCCAGTCTGCAAAGCTGGATGGCAAGGTCAGAAATAGCCAAGTAACTCTTACTTTGTTTCTTCTATACTGCTGGGTAGAAACCTAGGATGTGTGATTACAGTCCTTTTTTTTTTCCCCACAAATTGAAACTGTTGGTCTGTCCCCACACCATCCATTCATTTTACGCATTATCAGCCAATTTGAAGTGTTGAAAATAGCTTGAACAAATCGATTGAGTGTCCGGACTGTCTGAGACAGTCTGAGACAGTCCGGACACTCAGAAAAACTTTGCCTCCTCCCTGCCATGGCGCATGATATGACCTCAAGATTGAAAGTCTGGATGTTTTAAAAACACTGGGGAAAGCTCTGTTTTGTTCCAAATGAGTGGCTCGAAGGAAGGAACTGCTCAGCCACAACTTGATTTCCACCAGGTCTTAGTTAGCTCATCGTTTTATTTATTGCATCACACTTGGCTCTTTTACTGCGTTTGGGGAAGATGCGAAGTCTTCGACCAGAAAAAGTGCCCCTTTCTACTGGGAGGTCCGAGGGGGAAAAAACAAGGACCCCAACTTCATCAACCAACTTCAATGTGATGTCACTTGACGATGGCGACCTTCATAGAGACATAGACTGTGAATGGCAAAACATCATTTGCAAAATGAGAAACATATCTTTCTCCTTTATTTATTATGACATTGATTTTGTTATTTGACATTAGCTCATGTAACACAATGGGATTACCGACCTGCATGAAGGTTAATCTGTGAAATGAATGAAATGCTGTGAAGATAAGATATGCATTTATTGATATAAATGAAGGAAATTATGAAGAAGGTTTGCCAGAGGTCAAAATGTGTTGTGATGCACGGGAACAACAAAGGATTTATTCAAATCTGCCATTTTTGTTGTTTACGCTGGCCTGAAACGCTTGGAGGTCAGAACTGGGACATTCCGAGCGGGTTAAATCCGACTTCCCGAACCTTCCTCGAATGCAGCAGAAGACTTTTGAGAACCGATTTGCGAAGACGATGTAACCACCGCCGTTCGCTTTTTTTGAAGTACAAGTACAGTGTTACCTCTACTTACGAAATTAATTGGTTCTGGAAGAAATTTCTTGACTAGAAAATTTTGAGATGCGTTTTCCATGTAAATGCCCTCATCCGCTCCAAACCATCAGAAAATTTGGACATAAATGTTTTCGAAAGCATAAAAAGGCATCCAAATATGTAACAAATACATGTTACAATTAGATTATTGCACAATAAATGAGACTTGTGCATAATGTAAAAAACAAAAAATAGCGTAACGAATAAAAATGATGGTCATCTAACTTTTAACTGCGTCCTCATCGTTTTTTTTTTGCCCTCTTGAGTTCATGTTCTATCTCAGAAGTGGTTTTTGCCCGGCGTTTTGTAAAGAACTGATCCAAGGACATTTGCTTTTGTTGGCTATTAACAATCTTTCGAAAATGTCCAAGGCAAACATCAGCATAGTGAGCGATTGTCCGACTGGTGAACACTTTTCCTGGGTGATTCACATTTACGTAAAACTATCGAAACAACTCATGGCCCGAGGGTCGAATGACGAGCATGCTGCATAGACACAGATCTATTTATCTATCTATCTACACACATAGACATGTACGGTAGAGGTCCCTCTTCGCCAATGGGATGCCAGGAAGATGCCAGGTAATAGCCAATGGCAGAGCAGGTTTAAGTATGTTGCGTTCAGGAAACTCGGAGCTGTGATTAGCAGCGCATACTGTATTTTCACCTTTCGTATTTTGACATTTCTTTCGTAACAACAGGCAATATTTTCCTGTTGCGATGTTTTGTAAATTGAAAATTTCATATGAAGAAGTGTTCGTATGTAGAGGTACCACTGTTTTCAGCTTTTTATTTGTCTTCAGATTTCAATCAATTAGCAGTTCAACATGATGTTGCGCTGCTGTTGAGATGAGAGCAGTAGAAGGTACAATCCCAAGTTCGAGGCGCTGTGTGGTAACTCAAGCAAGATGGTTTGGATTTGTTGTTGTTTTTGACATCTTGGGCCGACAACAGCAAATGATACCTTGAAATATCAGATAATTTCGGACCGTTTCTGTGTAGGAATATTGAGAAGCCATGGAACGTTGTGAGATGTGTGCACTTTTTCAGCACACCCTTTTCTTCGCGTGAATTCACTTTAATGTTAGAACGAATGTCTCTTGTGGAAATGAAACCCTATGGTCGTGGTGGGGGGGGGGGGGGGACAAAAGCTCTCCAGAGCAAGTTGACCGGGAGCGTTTCCTTCAATGCGGAAGCCTGCTATTGGAGCCAGACTCTCCCCTGCTGCCTCACCTGTCAGCACTGACAGCAACTCACAAGTCCAACTCATGCGGGAATCAAAGAGGAAATGAGGAGGAGATCAAGCAAGAGAAGTCAGGGGAGGAAAGTGAGAACCAAAGTTAGAATGAAACAGAGAGTTGATGGTCCTTCCTGCTGTCTTCAAGCATCTGCGACCTATTCCAGTCCCCTGTTTAATGAAAGTGTAGTTTGCTCTGATATCAGCTGAAAAGGTCATCTTTTGGACGCAAGACATTATGCTTGTGGTCTGTATATTGGTCATGTGTGAATGCTCCCAGACAGCAAGGAGAGAGAAAGGAAATGACCAAACAGGGAATTCTCAAAATAGACTTGTGATGCGCTTTCACGCAACACTAGATCGGGAGAACTTTCGGATATGCCTTCGAGCGTCAAAGCAACTCTCATTACACCGAGTTAACCGACTGTAAAACGTGTTCTTCTTTTTATATTGATGTGTGAACACCAATTAAGGACTAATAACCTAATGTGAAGAATGACAGGAGCAACCTTTTTATAGACGGGACTAATCAATGAAATAGGCCTGTCACATGCTGAAAATATGCAGCCCAATACATACATACAATACATAGGTCATTTCAAAGAGATGGACCAGCAACGGAAAAGGCTCGTTCCCCTCTCTAAAAGTCATTTTCATACTGAGCTGAGAGCGCTAAAGGATGTCAATTTAAAAAACATTGAGAATAACCAAATATGCTGCCACTTTTTTTTTTTTTTTTTTGGTCTGACAGTAATTTGGGACAGCTCAACTCACCTCATAAGAAGCAGCAGTTTGGCAGAAAGAGCAATTCTTCAAAAAAGAGGCTAGCAGCTGTTTCATGACAATTGGCAAGACAAGGCAGCTTTATTTATAGAGCGCATTGCATACACATGTTTGACAAGTACAACACTGAAAACCGTTTACACACAAAAGAGTTAGACATTCAAAAGGGAAGGAACGAACTGAAAAGTAGCTTACTGAAATGAATAAGAGTACGTACAGGGAAAGATAAAGATTTGGGAAATTGTATTGGAAAAAAATGTTTTAAACGAAAAATGAAACATAAAATGAGTTACGAGCTGTGTACTCAAAACAACCTCATACTTGAATTTTTCCTTAAAGTTCTGAAAGCTTCATGCCAAACAGGCATAGCTTTGGTGTCACACCGTTAACGATAACCCTCCAAGCAATGGATATTTAAACAAATGCTGGGGCAACACATGTAGACAGATCATCAAATAATACTTCCACTCATATATGGTTTTTCTTCCACAAGATGATTTGCACTACTGAACGTCGTATCTAAGTCCATAATTCTTTAATAGCAGCTTGCTTGCAACTGAGACAGAAAAGTGGCAAATACACAAGATATATTTAATAATGGGTGTTATCCTTTAAGGCTGGAACAAGCGGGTGGACTATGAGCCTGGCACTGGCAGCAAGCCTCTCTTTCCAAAGTTGCACTTGGAAACATGCGGAGGACCCTTGTCCGGTATCAAGGTGGTGCTGGAGCTGCAGACAAGTCACATCGGGAAGGGCTGCGACCGGGAAACCTACTCCGAGAAGTCTCTGCAAAAACTCTGCGGTGAGTGGAGACAACTGAGCACCAAGAAAACGAATTGGGTCGCAGCAGAAGCGGCTACTCAAATAAGAAATTAAAAGCAAGAGAGATGGCTGAAACACGGAGCTGCTGCTAAGCTGCGGAGGGCCGTCGTGACGAGAGACAGCGACATTTTAATTAAGGCTAAGAAATTACATTTGATGTCTCGCTCCATTTTAGTCACATTTCCAATGTGCCTATTGTAGTTGCGGAGACCGCTTGGAATTCCATTTTATATTCTTAATGAAGTCTCTAAGGACATTCCCAACTGTGACGTGTTCATTATTGCATTCCATTTGTCATTTCCTTGTTATATATGCAAGCCAGTTTTTCCAAAGACAGCTCTAGCTTCAGCAAAACAAAGGGAGTATATTTCTTGCATTTCCACTTATATTTGCGGTCCACTCTTCTGTATTTCTGTGGAAGCTATGCCCAGCTACTTTGTGTATTATTTGCGCCGTCCCAAACGACCAAAGATGCCACAAGATGTGACCAAAGCCCCGTCTAAAGAGCAGTTGGTGTCAAAAAACACTGTGGAAGTGGGACAGCTCGACCAAGACTTGCTAGTTCAGGAAAACGTACAGTAGTACCTCTACTTAGAAAATTAATTGGTTCTGGAAGAAATTTCTTAACTCGAAAATTTTGTAAGTAGAGACGCATTTCCCACGTAACTGCCCTAATCCGTTCCAAGTCCACCCCCCACTCCCCCCAAATTCAGACAAATATTTATAAAGCATACAAATGTATCCAAATATGTAACAAATACACATTACAATTAGATTATTGCACAATATATGAGAGTTGTGCATAATATAAAAAACAAAAAATAGAGTAAAGAATAAAAATGGTTATTTAACTTTTAAATGCTTCCTCATCGTTTTTTCTTTTTGCCCTCTTGAGTTCATGTTCTCTCTCAGAAGTGGTTTTTGCCCGGCGTTTTGTAAAGAACTGATCCAAGGACGTTTGCTTTTGTCGGCTTTTAACAATCCTTCGAAAATGTCCAAGGTAAACATCAGCATAGTGAGCGATCGTCCAACGAGTGAACACTTTTTCTGGGTGATTTATATTTACGTAAAGCTATTGGAAATGCCTCATGGCCCGAGGGGCGAATGAGGAGGATGCTGCATAGACACATATCTATCTATCTCCACACATAAACACATAGGGTAGAGGTCCCTCTTAGCCAATGGGATGACTGGATGATGCTCGGTAATAGCCAATGTCAGAGCAGCTATAAGTATGTTGTGTTCTGGGAACTTGGAACTGTGAGTACCAGCCCACGCTGTATTTTTACCTTTCTTATCTTGAAATTTCTTTTGTAACAAGAGGCAATACTTTCCTGTTGAGGCGTTTCGTAAAAAATTCATATGAAGACACGTTCATAAGTAGAGGGACCAGTGTACGAGGAAAGACGTTAGCAAGGAAAGAGCAGGACACTGAGGTGAAGGGGACTTGAACGCAAGGCAATATTATTGTAGATGTGGGAAAAGACCAAACAAGAGGCACTGTAGCAAACCCGAATGGGACAAGTCGAAAGGAAATGATGATTTCACGTCACTTTGACCTGTTGGCATTTTATCTAAGCTGCAATGTAATGTAATTTTTTTTTTCATACAACCTGAATGCTTCCATACATGGTCAGTGCAAGCAACATTTGGAATGCAATGCTGCGATGAGAGTGTTTCTGCTCTGCACATTAGGTAGTTTTGAACTTGTCGTTCTTGCAGGAGCGGCATCGGGCAGTACAGACCTTCTTCCCGCCCCGAGTCCATCCACCAACTGGACAGCGTCTCTGGTGACCGACAGTGGCCGTGACAGCGACCTCATCTACCGATTTGACGGACAACAGGCAGCCAATGTTCCCGATCATGTGGTGCCCCAAAACCTGACGGATCAGTTCACCATTGCGACGTGGATGAAACATGGCCCCAGTCCAGGACTCCGAGCTGAGAAAGAAACTTTACTGTGCAACTCTGACAAAACTGGTGAGGAGACACTCTCACTTTTGCTTCCTTCTAATTTCAACGACGGCAGGAAATACTTCATTCTTTTTTTTTTTTTGCAAGTCAGTGTGATCATCAATGTATCGTTACATGCATTGTACGTAATGTGCAGGAGCTTTTGTTAGACGATCGCAACATTGACCTTATATATCGTGTTGGCACGGTAATGTTACGAGTCATTTTCTCCCGGAACTGGACTGACGTGTGAAGGATAAAGACGCCTCAGTGTGCTACCGCAAACCAATTCCAGATAGGCGGCAGAAAATAGATAACATCTTACACTGATTTGAATGTTGTCATCGTGCATGGAGCCGATATTTGATGTGAACCCAAACAACTGACTCACAGAGCCCAGCTGGAAATGAGATCGCCACATTGTACAGAAATGTTGACGTCTCAATATGTGACGCTTGCTGTGATCGATATTATTTCCCCCAAATATGGCTGTATTCATATTTGAACTGCATGTATTCACGGCGGAAATGACTTCAGGGGTTTAAATGACGAATGTACCAAGGCCTCCGTTTCACACAGCTGGAAATATCTATTGGGCACTGAAAAATACTCATCCTATCTTCGGTGTCTGCATGTGCAAACATATACTGGATTTGTTGTTTGTTTTTGCAGAAATGAACCGCCACCATTATTCTCTGTACATTCACAACTGCCGGCTGGTCTTCCTGCTTAGAAGAGATTTCAGCCAGCTAGACACTTTCAGACCTGCTGAATTCCACTGGAAGCTGGAGCAGGTAAGGAAGTGTGAGTGTGTGCGTGGCGAGCGAGGATGGTTTCAGGGTGATTTTGCAGAGTGAGTGAAAAGCTATCCATTTTTCGCTGTCGTAAAGGGAGAGCTTGCCTCTTCTCATTAGCGCAGGCCCTCACCTGCCCACCTTTCTTCACGCCATCTTCTCAATGAAGAATCGAGAGGGGAGGAAACAGTGCTACTTTGTGCACTAAGAGTCCCCCGCGTTAGCTGCATTGAAAAAACTGTTTCGTCAAGGAGAATCACTGGGCCAGCAGCACTGCGTACGTGAAGACGGTTATTTTTCAGTATTATTTTGCATTTGGATGGTATTTCCACCCGTGTTTCAGTTTCAGTGTCAAATTGTAACGTCACATCGATGCAATCCAAACATTATTTTCCATGAGCCTGACAAACAAATGTGCATGCAAATCCTTTTTTAAAATTTATTTATTTATTTATTTATTAATTATTGCCATGACGTGCAAGCAAAGATTTGGAATACGAGCGTTAGATGGTGGCAGCCAATTCAGCTCATTTCACAGTGAGCAGCACTTTGGCAAATAGTGAACAATCCTTCAAAAGAGATGCTTCAAAATGTTTATTACTGTCTGCCAGTGAAAGGTGACTGCCAAACTCATCATCTAACAAAGAGAATTGCGCATTTAAAACAGCCACATCTCTTTGCCAAAAATGAAAGTCCGCTAGCTTAATGCTAACAATGCAAATGCAAAATGTCACAGACAGGCTAACAAATAGAACTTTTTTTTCCCCCCGTTCGTATGTTTTTTTTTTTTTTTTTTAATCCTGCCACTTCCTGTCTCCGCAACTTGTCCAGCTCGACTGCGGGGCTCCAACGAGGACAGTTCCTTACAGCTCATCTATTCAGAAGACCATCACTGAATGCAAATTCGTGGTACAAAATTGGTGCTCAAAAAATTGCACACCTAGTAGTGCAGCCGAATAACACTGAATTTCACCATTATGAAAAAATTACTTGCAGACTCTTCGTTGCACACCAAGCGATTGAGTACCGTATTTTCCGCACTATTGGGTGCACCTAAAAGTCTTCAATTTTCTTAAAAGCTCACCGAGTGCCTTAAAATCTGGTGCATCTTGTGTATGGTCATTACGGTAATACATAGACTCCAAGATGGCTCCTTCCTGGAGAGATGCTTCCAATGTTATAACTTGCTGTTGGTTCAGTGAACTGTGTCGCTGCTTTATTAAATAAGTTTTTGTTGCAGCTCCGAAAAAAGGAGAGCTGTGGTGTTAATTTTTTAAAACGCACACTTTATGAATGTCTTTCACAATCTCAACAAATCCAGTTACGTCTGTCAGTCTCCTGCCTTTTCTTCTTCATTCAACTCAAGAGGCGATCATGACTGCCTCGGGAAAACGTAAATTAACGATTCCTTCATTGAAACTACGAAAATTGAAAATAATGCATCAAAACAGAAAATCAAGCGAGGAAATCAAAAAAATAAATTCTCCGGCCCCCCTAACAGAATTTATTTTGTGATTTCCTCGTTTGTGAATACAGTACACAACAAAGGAATAAATAACAAACACGTCTGAGACAGTCCAGTCTCCTACATTTTACTAACATCTGATCTTTCTATTGGAGCTATGCTCAAGGAAATGCCAAAATAAATTCTCTAGGGGGGCTATAGAAGTTATTTTGTGATTTCCTCGCTTGATTTTGTGTTTTGATGCATTACTGTATTTTTGATTTTCGTAGTTTCATTGAAGTAATTGTTAATTTACGTTTTTTGGAGGCGGTCGTGAACGCCTCTCGAGTCAAATGAAGGGCTGTGGCTACATCTAGTGGATGCATTGTAGACTGTGTCTTATAATGCGGTGCGTTTAATATATGAAAAAAAATTACAAAATAGACAATTCATTGAAGGTGCGCCTCATAAGCCAGTGCGCCTTTTCGTGCGAAAAATACGGTACTGCACATCTACAGACTTGACGCAACAGACAAACTGGCTCCATTTATTAACCACAAAAATACGGTGCGCTTGTCAATCAAAGTGGATCTCCACAAAGAAGAGGACAACAGGTGAAAGTAAAGGAGAAAATTTCGAGTTTTTTTTTTTTTTTTTTTAAGGCTGTAAACAATGATTACAACATTCGCTAACTGTGCCTGTGAATTTTGACAACAGAGGCTCTCCGCGCTTTGCTTTGTAGCCACAGGAACAAATGAAATGATCAATATTATGGGATATTATTGCATTTTTGGGCAGGGTGAAAGCTTATGTGCATTTTTGATTGGCTTTTACTTTTGATAGTGTTCAATAACGTTGACCAATTATTCAAATTTCGAATCACTTCAAAATGAGTAGCAGGCAGTTAGTCTCTCATAAAAACTAGTAGGCGAAACCCGCACTGTGTGCCACAGTTCAGTTGGATTCGGCCGTACGTTTTCATCTAGCACCAGGAAGTAACCCATTGTTTGTTTTTGGGGTTTTTTTTTTCACTTTTCTTCGGAATTTGTTGAGTCATCTTGAAACATGCCCTCCCTTCCCCCTCAATCGGATAACAAATGATGGTCTGTTGTCGTGGCATCCTCTGCCAGCCAGAAATTGGTACAATATGGCATTACATTTTCTTTTTTTCCACCTTCAAGGTCTTCACTCTATCAAAAAGTTATTCTGGTCTATTTCTGTATTGTCACCCTGCCCTGCTCCCTCTCTGTCTCAGTCCGCAGACTCCCTACAGACGCATCTTTCAGAATCAGTGAGGTGAATTATGTTTGTTCCAGTCTTTTAATGAAAGTAAACACATTTTCTCTTCACCGAGTTTGTTTAGACTGCGTCAACGTCATCTCCTCTGATCTGCTGTGTTATGTTTTATTACCTGAATCTTCCTTTCTCTGGGTTTTTTTCTGCGTCTCTGATACAAAAAGGTAAATGTAACACTGCAGTTATTTTAGTCTTGGAGATCTACACAATTATGCTTTATCGGGTTCCTTGAAAGACAAAGTGTCGTTGCGAAGATCCTATAAGAAGTTATTTAAAAGGATTCAGAAAAAGTGCAGGCTCAGCCACTTGCCTTTAAAGTCCCTGTAATAATGAAAATAAAAATGTCTTACAAATCTGACACATCCCCCAAGAGCATTGTAATTAACCATGGCTGCCAAATGTGAATGAATACAAAATTTCTAAGTATTGTATATAAAATTAGGTAAAAATTCAGCATTCTCTCAGCCCTCAGACGCTGTGGGCTGAAGCATTGTCCCGCTCAACTGTCTCTCAAATAGGTTTACACCAGCAGTCCCCAACCCTTCTTGCCCCACGCACCGGTTTAATGTTAGACAATATGTCTGCGTCACGAGTGACATACTGTAGACGGATGTAACAGAGAATCCAGTCATTTTTCAAAATAAAACACCAAAATGAATAAAACGGAAGTAATGTTAAGTTATTCATTCTTTCTATGCGGCCCGATACCAAATGACCCAAGGACCGCCGGCACTGGTCCGCGGCCCAGGGGTTGGGGACCACTGGTTTACACATTAATCATCTTTCTTTGGCCGACACACCCTAATATTTCTCAGTCGTGAAAATATATCCACTTCAAGCCTCCGGTGGCTGCAACATATCCTACCAAGTCATCGTGGGGCTTTTCCGTGCCATTACCAGAGGTGCTAGCCACGAGCTAGCTTGTGGGCTAACGGCGGATTCATCTAATACATCGCCACCGCTCTTGTTGTTGTGTCAGTTTGTGGGTCCACATAATAGAGACACTTAAGGAAGGGAAAGGTAATCGTTTAATAAACATGGCAGCACACATTCTTCTGCCTGTGGCTCACAGTACATGGGAGCCATTTGAGCATGTTTCTTGCTAGTTATATACCGACAATGCTGAGTGTTGCAGCATATCACAGTAGCCTAAAAAACACAAAATAGGGAATTTAAATACAGACAATATAGAGCCCTTTCTCGCGCTCTCGCTCGCTAATGCTTGTGCCGAACAAAAACCTCTCACACGAAACCCCCAAAAACTCACATAAGCTAAAAATTCTCACAAGTTAAAAAAACGTCTTTCATGTGCCAAAACAAAAAAGCATCTCAAAACTAATTAATCTCACTCACTCCCTCACCAAAAAGCATTTGACGAACACTCAAAAACATTATGTGCGCGCGCACACACACACACACACACACACACACACACACACACACACACACACACACAAACATGCTTGAAAACTTCACTCCCACTAAAAAAAGCACCCCCCCCCACACACACACACATCTAACCAAAATAGCTACTCTTAGTAAAGCAAAGAAATCATCTCACACACAGAAAAAAAAAATCTTTTTATCTTTTATTTTACCGTGTGAGCTTTTTTTTCTTCCTTTTTTTTTGCAACAGACAGAGTGGGGGTCCAATTGCATGCAAGAGGCGTTTGGCGTTTTGTAGATAGCTTCTTTTTACACTTTTGTGCTATTGTTCACGCAAGAACGAACACTTGCACAGACATAAATGTTCTCCCACAGTTCTGTTTTAGTGTGAGGCTCTTTTGGTGTGCGTGAGGTCTTTGGGATGGATGAATGAGCAATAAAGGCTTCGTGAGCACCTTGTAATAAATAAGATGCAGGTTTTTTTTTTTTTTGCCTCGGCTCAGCTACAACTCGTTTTGCATTGATTGAGTGCACAAAAATAGCCATGCAGTCTTTGGCACACTTTTTTCTTTTGTTTTTTTAAGATGCAGATGAATGCGGGTTGGGTTGAAAGGCGTCTCTTCTGAAATAAATCAAATGTAAACAATTCTGAATCAGCTCGTTAATTACATTTTAAATAACATAACACTGGCCGAACAAAAAAAATGGAGAACCATGCAAGTGCACACATCACAAAGCACACTTTGGTGTGAGTAAAATGCGTGAAACTAAATATTTAGGAGGCATGACGCATTACGTTCCACGTTTCCGGACGACGGCAACGTGACGTGATTTTAGAATGAGTGCTTTCGTGCGTCTTGTCGTCTTGTCCAGTCTCGCTGGAAACTGGTAAATGAAACAGATCTTTGGATCTGAGCTAACCTCATAAAAAATGATGTGTGCCCTGAAGCAATGCAGGTAAGGTCAAAGAAAAGTGAACACAGGTTCTTCTTTAAAAAAAAAAAAAAAAAGCTGCAAAACACTCCTTCAAAGCAAAACAAGTTGTTGTCTCATGTGCAAAAACCGCTTTTTGTCCAAGATAATTATTGAATAAGGTGTTGAATATTCATACAAAAATATCTGAAAAGCAAAACTCAGCTGACATAATTCATCCACATCTGTGGTTTATACAGAAAAACAGTGACCGCAGAAAATGATTTTCAGGCCATTTTGTGCCTTACAGCATGAAGCATAAACCAACATCTCCCAATTAGGCCAATGTGATTATTATGGGCCTGCAAATGGTGCCGTACCTCATTCAACATTCAATAACTGCCTTAGGTCATCGAACGGTGGTCCAATCATTTTAAAAACTTTGAGGTGACCTGCAAGACAGATGAGGTAACATTAGAAAACACAAATTAAAAATCGACTCTATTTCATTGATTACAGTTTCAAAGTGACTTTTTTTTTATACATACATGGAGACAATCAGTAAACCACAGCAATACTGTATTAATTGTTCTTCTCAGAGGATAAAGAAAATACCCCTGCTTTATCTTTTATTTAAATATTTGTTTCTGAAAGGGTTACAACATCGCAACCCCAATGCTATTTGTGTCTTATCATCATCATCACATGACCAAAATCCAGAATACCGGTGACGTTCGAAAGGTGACCCAGTGGCATTAGTTTCAGTCGACAGCATAAAATGCCATCCTCCGTGGATGGCTGAAGAATCGCTGGATTTTACAACTTAATTCTTATTCCACAAAGACAATAGTAATATAAATACTGCATTTAGACTTGGGGGCACATAGAATACTTTCTGGCAAGGAAAAAAGAAAAGACTTGACTCTGCTTTAGTTTGTTTAAAATGTGTGTGAGGGAGAGGGGTAAGAATGGGGAAAAAAAAAGTCAATGTGTATAGTGTATTTTCAGCGACTGGTTTTTACTGTACAGTAGACTCAAGAAAAAACAATTTGATGAAGTATTTTTTTTCCTAGAGTAGCGAATGAATGAACTCCATGCCGTTGAGCCAATGTTGCTTTGGGAGCCCGAACCATTCCCAATGGCTAGATTAGTAGTACAGTCGAGAGCCGCAACGCAGCTCACTGCGTTACAAGGACAAGGCCGGTGGGATTTGTGAGGGAATGTTGGCGTGGCGAGAGAGGGAGGAGGTGACGACTGCATGTCAGAGCGGGCCATTCGCTCCCCCCTCATTCCTCTTGCACTTAGGAAGGGCACTCAATGGCTTCCGCTACAACTCCATTTAGCTGTATTGATTTTTCAATTGTTACCCTCGAGAGGAGAGGCTGAGAGCCATGAACGAAAGTTGGCAGAGGGCGGGAAACAGGCCTCCCATTTGTCAAACAGGTCGAAGGCGGTGAAGGAATGTGGCTTCTGACGGAAATCTTGACGCAACCATGGCAGCACAAACTTCTTTTCTTCTCCTTGACTGCTCATGACAATGGATATCAAAGTCAGGCACTGTGGCCAAATACAAATCCAGATTCAATCTTTAGTCCTGTTCGCTTGAGGGGAAAAAATACAAAAACAAAAGAAGAGATGAAAAAAGAATGGTCTGTCATTTTTTTTCAAATCTTTGAAGTTTGACTTCAGCAAGTTTGCCAAACGAGAGATCCTTGGACAGAAGATGGAAACTAACCCAGGCTTGCAGATGTCTGCTGTGCGGAGCCCCAGACGTGACACTGGGAAGGAAAAAAAAATCAGTTGTAGCCAAAATATAGATAGAGCTTAAGCACAAAATTCCAATTTGTGGCCATGGAGGAGGTATCATGTAAGCAAAATACAAATGAATCATGAGCATTCCTGGACAGTCGAGTCAGGAAATGGATAGCTAATATAACACCAGAGCATAGACGGGCTAATGCAAATTAGCATCGTTGTTGCGGTAATTGGAAACCCTCAAACTCCTTTAGCACACAGAGCAGCAACGCATACACAGCATATGACAATATTAGGCATAGGCGTACCATATATTCTCTGCACTGCGGGTGGCAAAGCTTATTACACGAAGGGGCATCCTACTCTTCTTCATCTAAATCAGGGGTCTCAAACTGGGAGGATGCTGGCACTAGGGGCTGGGTGAGGCTGGGCCGCATCAGGTTTTCCCCCCAAAATGCATTTATTAAAAAAAAAAAAAATAAAGAGAGAGAGTGAGATTTTTTTTTCTTCAATGCTTTTGCTTCTGCGATACCCTACACTTTTTCAGTGCTTTGGTTCTGGTTTTCCACAAGAAAAGCTCTGATAAAACATTCCACTGTTCTCAAATATCTTTCTACACAAGATGAAAAAAACAAACAAAAAAAAAACAAATCAAAGAACGTAATTTCCGCTGGTACCAGATCGGCTCAGGATCCTGAGCCTGCGTAGGACGTCAAGCACGGCACAGTGATTGGTTGAAGGTCAGGAACCATGGAAATACGAAGTGTTTGTGGTGGTCGTTTAATATTAAATTAAATACATTTAAAAAATGAATATAGTTTGAAAAGTGTGGCTAGTGGCTAGCATGAAGCGGGCGCTAACATGCACACATACACATAAAACTTCGCTTGTGTGTATGTAATAGTGCTAGCTCCATGTTAGCATCTTAGCACTCATTTTCCCCATTCTTGCGTGTGTTTAATGTCAGATCTGGTGCTTCGGAGCACCCGGCTCCAGTGACAGCCACACTGGCGTGTTGTTTATCTGCTTAAATGTGTATTCAGCACTAGCGAAGGCAGCAGTGGCGGGTTGTTTACAGCTGTGGTTTACACGTGTATTCAACCTGATGCTGGGCACCGTGGGCACGGTCACATTGCTGCTATAGTCCGGGTGTGCCGAAGCCGTCGGCCTATGAACGAGACAGACCTATTTAGCACAGAGGTAGTGCTAACACATACAGAATCCATATCAAACTTGCGTGGGCAGCACTAACATTAAACTTTCATATCAAGGCGGGGGGGCCGCATTTGGCCTGTGGGCCATGAGTTTGAGACCACTGATCTAAATAATGATAAATCTTTTCCAGGGGAGCTCAGTGCTGCCCGGCGGCACGTTGCAGCACACCGTCGTACAACACTGAAGGAGCACAATTCAAAATGTGGGTTTGCCTGTATACTGTAACAAACAGTAAAGAGCAGTCCCGTAAAATTCTGCAATATAGCTCGAGTGTGAACAATCAACCGCGATATAGCGGTGGAACACTCTATTTGCAGGCTAAGATTTCCCCAAGGGAAGGCGAGAGAACGCCATCGCTCTCAAGTAAGTGTTCCAATTTCACTGCCATGAAAGCAGTTGCAGGGCTTAGTTTATCATTCTGAGTTCAATTAACGTGAATGAATAGCGGAAGTGGTGGGAAATTAGCGTCCGCCCTTGTCAGCAAAGCACCCTCACCAATCTGCTTTATCTCATTGCTTTCAAAGTGCTTGTTATGCTGCCGTCATACTTGATCTGCATCATGCACTTCCTTTGGTACACAACAATGTAGGTTTGTTATTTCAGGGTACGTGTGTGTGTGTGTGTGTGTGTGTGTGTGTGTGTGTGTGTGTGTGTGTGTGTGTGTGTGTGTGTGTGTCTGTGCGTGTGTGTGTGTGTCAAAAAAAGCCCATGTGTATTCTGTTTTCACAATAGTGGCTGACAAAGGGCCATTTAATGGCGCTGTCCTTCACTTCGGTACCACTCAGTCCATGTTATTTATTCTTTTAGCTCAACATAAGCTTTCACTGACTGTACTTAAACATTGACAGCTTATGCCTCCCTCTCTTGGATTTTTTTCTACTCGTCACCCGTGCCTTACACTCTGCACCAGAAAATAAATGATCGCAAATCAACTGAACTATGAAGCAGGTTGCGATTATATTGCTACATTACTACAAAAACACACACAGAATGAATAATAATAATTTCACTCTCCTATCCTCCGTACCAAATGTATCAGCTACTGAGGAATACATCTTGACAGATAACAAGATCAACCATGTTTCTGATTAAAATATGACTCGCAAGGAAGGTTTTAGACATGACCAGTAATAGTAGCAAAGTACAGCCGATGACAATATCCGGTGTGCGTGAAAGGGCCAAATGTCCCGTTATCTGATTTTGTGCACAAAATTGGAAAATAAGTCGTTACCTGTTTTTTCATTTTGGTGTTGAGATTGAATATTGAAGTATTTTGTGTGTGTGTGTGTGTGTGTGTGTGTGTGTGTGTGTTTCTCTTCCTGTTTTATTTTGAAAAACAAATTAATGAAAACAAAGTATCTTGTAAAAGCGGACACTCCACCTTTTTTGTACAATGATTAGCATCCCCCTTCCACCACACAAAACAAAACAAAACAAAAATAGTTGTCAACTCTTCAAATCTCTTGTTTGATGTTTAGTTTGACCATCTATTTTTTTTATCTCTATCTCGCATACTGCTGTTTGTTGGAAAAATTAGGTCACTGCCACCATACAGAGTTGATGTCTCGTTGCCTAGTGACCGACGCAAATGTCTTCTTCTCCTTCTGTAGATCTGTGACAAAGAGTGGCACTATTATGTGATCAATGTGGAGTTTCCCGCTGTGACTCTCTTTGTGGATGGAGTGACCTATGAACCCTACCTGGTGACAGATGACTGGCCAATCCATGCATCAAAGATCGATACGCAGCTCACAGTGGGCGCCTGCTGGCAAGGTAGGTGTGTGTGCGTGCGGGCGTGCATATGTGTGTGGGCTCAAGGGATTTCCACTTGCTAGAAGGAAGCTGTTAGGGAGGGGCCAGCCAGGCAGCCTCCTCAGCCAGGGGGCTCTGCACCTCACACCTGAGACTCGTCAGCTCATCACCCACCTGTTGCCTATCTGCTCGTTTGGACTGATACATATTGATTCACAGACCATTCCTCAGTGCAAGTTCGTGCCGTCACCACGCCAGTGGACTTTGTTGCCATTTCCTACAGCTGCTTGTTCCTTGTGTGGACAATTCCTTGTGGACTCCTCGTGCTTCCCCCTGAGTGACTTTGCGAAGACTCTTCGAATAAACTACGCCAAGTGTTGGCTTCAACAATACCTGCCTGTTGTCGTGCTCTTGGGGTCACACCCAAACCCTAACAGAAGCAGTGAACATCTCATTTATACTCGTATCGCTTTTCGTTCTTTGACTACTTTGATGGTACATGTGCAGTGACTATATCAAGCTTGCACACAATATAAACATTTTATTGATATATAAAAAAAGAGACCCCAATATTTTTTTCTTTGACCGTAAGTGTGACTCGTACAACTCAAGTGATCGCCAAAAACTGTTATGAACAGTTCTAAATAGCAAATTACTGTGAGCACAAAAGCTTTTGGCTTCTGCTAGAAAGCAACATCAACAAAAAAACAAAAGACCTCCCCTTGGAATAGACATCATCTCGAATTGGCCTGCAAATGTGGTACTTCAGGCAAGATGTGGTTGGTAAAGTATTGTCAGCAATTCTTTGCGACTACCTGCAACTAAGAATAGACAGAAACAAGCTTTTCTTCCATGAAATATGGTGGCCAGACTCCATTTGACTCCAGAAGTGGTTTCAGGATTTGACGCAAATAATGTGCGGCGAGCACCTTTCCAGTACGTGTTAGTGGATGTCACATGTTTATGTCCAATCAAATTTCAGCTTCTATGTGTTGCCAGATCAATGTAATATGCCCAGGGCCGGTCAATGTGCAGTATCTTAAACCGTATTAGATATGGGACTCTTACTATAAGCAGTCAGAGTTTACATTTGTCTGCATTTTTCTGTCCCCTGATTGCTTGTTCGCAGCAAAACTCGTCACGGTAACAAGTTTGACCAGCAACTCACATGAGTAGTGGTGTGCACACTTGAATACATTTTATAATCAAGATCTCTGGTGACATAGATGTGCCTAATAACACGTTTTGTTTTGTTTTTTTGGTCATGTTAGTAGATAAAGTATTGATTAAGGAGTGCCCCAGTTTGATGTATATGGCACAGTCGGAATCTTTTGTATAGTGTTGGTGGTTGCTACGATCGCAACATGGTAGTGGTGCGTATACTGCCACTACAGGCCCAGGTACCAAAAACACAGCCCCCTATTCTAAACATTATACAAAAAATAAATAAATAAAAACAATACACGATTGCAATTGACTCACCTCGGTCTTTTTGGAAGACAAAGGGAACAGCATGGAAAATGGTGAAACCTTGCCACAAACACTGAGATCCTGCATCAGCCAGTGCCAAGCAATGTTGAATTGAAGTCACAATTGAAGTACTGTATATGCATGCCCACACCTAGAATGTAGGAGAGAAAAATAAATACAGATTAAGATGTAGGCCTTGGGGCTGTGAGCAATTCTTTTGAAATTGAGAGGCATGAGCAAAGTGGGTATCAAACTGGTTGCAGCAGCTGGGAATAAGAGGCAGCAATGATCACATTGTGGTAAATTGGAGCTGCCGTGTGACGATTCGTTTCGTTATAAAAATGTGCTTTCCGGGGGTGATGTGTGCATTGGGGGGGCGGACCGGCAGCAGTGATCCACGCTGCAGCTCGCCTAAATCAAACTCGAACTTCCATCAGTGTCTTCAAAAAGCATCTCTCCCCCGAACAAATTTCTTTCCCTCTTGCGCACGATTGCACTTTTCCTTTCGTCATCGTCATTTCTTACCCATTACATTTGGCCTTTCCTGTCGGATTCTTCTCTTGGTGAACTTGTGATTGTGAGAGAAAGCCCTTAAGGCAGGATTAAGCGGAGGGAATGGGCCACAACTTTGCCAGCTATTACATCCCAATGAAGCTGACTTCAGCTTCACTAAGCTGCAACTGATAACTTTGCAGGCCATTAGTGAGCCTTTGGGGCTCTCATTTCACTAGTCCGGCCCCCCACCCCACACCCTTTTACTCGCATCACAATAATGAAGTGTGTGGACTCGGACGGGCATGCTCCATTCCCTGCTTTGTTTTGCAGCGAGAGAAATTGGTTGGCATTTAACATGCACAATGCGTGTGTTTTATTTGATTGTTTGCTTGTTGCTCACTGTTTGAAGGAAGCTCTATTGGCATTCTCACATTGGGCAAGGCCACATGGCAATATTTGGGTCTCAAATATCAAAGCAGTGAATGACACCCCCGACCCCCATTAAAAAAAAAAAAAAAAGCACTGGGCGACAATTTTTTTTAATTGAGTACCGTATTTTCCGCACTAGAAGGAGCACCTAAAAGCATTCAATTTTCTCAAAAGTCGACAGTGCACCTTATAATCCAATTCGACGTATATATGGATCAACATTCTGATTTCTTGCACATGGTATTTTAAATGTTCTGTAAAGCACTTTATTACAGCTGCAGTGATTGCGAAAATAAAACGATTGTATTGTGTTACCTTTAGCATAGCTCCATCTAGTGGATGAATGCAACCACAGCCGCTATTGTAGCTTCTATTCTACGCGCCTTATAATGCAGTGCACCCTGTATATGAGAACAGTTTTAAAGTAGGCCAGTCAATGATGGTGCGGAAAATACGGAAAATCAGTCATAATTTCTAGATGGATGTTTTGTCCTGATTCCAAACCTGCCTTCTTTTCTCGACAGCACGCTAGATTTTCATAATAATAATAATAATAATAATTATAATTATAATAATAATATCATGACAATATCATATGGAATATTGGAATAATCAGCTACAGGTGCCTTTTTTTCATCGCTATGAATGACAACACATGGTAAAATCCATTTTGCGCAAATTTTCATAGGTCAAATTTCAAAAACAAAAAATTAAATTATCTCAAAAACCTGATGTGCTAGAAAAAAAAGTAAGGACGTCTTTTAAATCAGCCACAAAAATTCGTTAAGGAACACATGGAGCCATCTCTGACTGAAAATTTGCCATTGACCTGTGTCATTAATTACAGGGCATGGACTTAAACCCACTAAAATACACCAAAGACCATGATAAATAATGATCAGTTTTTATTGACACTCGGGGCTGTAGTCGAACAGTATATTAGAGACTGTGGTTTGATGTGCTTGACAACTGCATCACAGCCGACTGAGAAACACTTTTTTTTTTAATGGCCCTCTTGTGTGCTTGCATATTGCCGTCAAAATATTGGAAACGCCTCAGTGTTATGCACTTCTGGTTGTTTTTTTAATTTGGTTTTGTGGGGGGGGGGGGCGGGTTGTGTGAAACATTGTGACTGGTAAGTGAAAATTTCCCCGTCCAATCTTCATTTGTGCCCATCATCCTACGACGCCACACCACACTGCAAATGGAACAGCAGCATCTGTCAAATGCACACTCAAAATATCTTGCTGCTCATTTGACAGCCAAAGTGTGTGTGGGTTCAAAACACACCAAGAAAGAAAAATGACCCACATGCTGTCTCCCAGGGCAGGAAACGGAAGCAGCAAAGCTGAGGCGACATCAAAATAAGAACAAACTCCGTTGAGAGTGAAATGCGAGACGGTAACACAAATGGCGCATCAACAAACTGGCAGCTGATACATACGTGTAAGAGCCAAACGTTGATGTGGCGTAAATATTTTAAGAACAACACCAAAAATAGAGAGAATCCAAAAATGTTGACTTGAAAACTGTGACCTTGAGTTGCATGCACGTGCTCGTTATTTATTGACTCCAGAAAGATGCATTTCCTTGCAGTGACAGTTGCAGAGCATTCTCGGATGAATATCCATTGCGTCCGTTGCGTCTGTGAAACTTGTGCTCCAAATATCCCAAGAGGAAGCATCACACGATATATGGTGATGTGCCAGATGTTGGGAGCCTGTCGCTTCACATTTAAGTCATTACTCCAACATGAATTAACACCACGTCTCACAGCTTTTTGTGTGTACCAGCTTCATCTGGGTTGGATGTTCCGGACCCGCCCACGAGAGGTGATAATCCGCGATACAGAGTGACCCTGTAAAAGTGCATTAAAAATAAATAAATAAATAAAATAAAAAATTTTCACCCCTCTGGTGGTGTCCATCCCTCATTCAGCTCGGGTCCTCTACCAGAGGCCAGGAAGCTTGAGGGTTCTGCGCAGTATCCTTGCTGTTCCCAGCACTGCACATTTCTGGACTGAGATGTCCGATGTTGTTCCCGGGATCTGTTGCAACCACTCATCTAGTTTGGGGGTCACTGCCCCGAGTGCTCCGACCACCACAGGCACGACTGTCACCTTTACCTTCCAGGCTCTCTCCAGCTCCTCTCTGAGCCCTTGGTATTTCTCGAGACGGTGACGGACGGAGACGGGAGACGGTGGTTCGAATCCCGCCTGGGGCAAAAATGAGCACATAACATCATCCAGTGTGGGTCCTTGGGCAAGATCCTTCACGCTATGCCTACCTCATACAATGATGAGAGACAATAAAATGAATGACATGCCGGCTCAGACGTCGCCCGGCCAAACAAGGTCTGCGTCAGGTGCTGGGGAACCAGAGCACCTTGATGAAAAATGGGCTACTGGAACAAAGCGGAGATGGGCGAGATGCGATAACATGGCTCTGTTGGAATGCTACTACTCAAGCAACCCTAGTCAGAGGGGTTACATGCAGAGAATG